TGCTCTTTAATAAACCTTCATCACTGAGGTCTCACCCGTCGTTTCCACCATCTGTGGCGGTGAAGCGACGCTCACTAAGCTCAGCGTGTCAGAGCGCGCAGGCGCGTGGAGGAAAACCATCGACGGCAGGAACAGCGAGTTCAGAGTTCACGAAGAGATCAGAGCACCAGGTAGAAACCGCAGAGCCGAGACCCGGACAGGTGCGTGCACCTGAGTGTCCCTCAGAGCCGAACAATACGAGCGAGGAGGATTCAGGAAACCTCTCAAAGCAGGACAGGAAGTGAAACTTTGACCTTGGAAAGACGTCACCTCAGACGTGAAGCTGGACGTCTTCGTGGCTGCGGTCGTCGTAGTGTGTCAGAAGTTACGGTCTGAGCTTCACAGCATCAGGAAGCTGCTGCTGATACTTCTTCAGGACTTTGTTCAAAGTTTAAGGGAAACTTTGCCAAAACGTTTATTTGCAGGAAGCTTTCGGTCTGAGTGACATCCACAGATGTTTCCTGTATGGACCGGCGCACTCGCAGACACGGCTGCGCCACATTGCAAAAACCCACGAAGTTGAAGCGACACCAAATCACGGACGGTGTCGGCAGCGAGCATAAAGTAGGGGCGATGCTCGGAGCTCAAACCTCAGACTGATGTTTGTCCTGCACTGGAAGCGTTTCACCTTCTGAGGTCTTCTTCACGGACATTCGGTGGCGTTAGGTGGAGGAAACAGTCGCAGCCTCGTCGTAGACCCTGCTGCACTCTTACTATGTGAAGTCAGGTTTCGCTTTGCGTCACCTGTGTGAAAACACGTCGTTCGCCAACAAGTCGCCTGATTCGCCCTTTGCTTCCCGGCTCTGTGTCAAAGTCAGGCTGAACCAACTCAGTGAAGCTGAGCTCCAACTGCCTTCAAAGGGCATAAATAAGCTCCTCCCCCATATCTGATTGGCGGCGATGTCGGGTGTACGTGGTGTTTAAGGCTCAGTTTTTAGCAGAGTTAAATATTTGCAGGTTCACCTAAACTGACATCAGTCTGCTGCAAACGCACCATGTGGATCAGGAGTGGTCATGTGACGAGGTCTGCAGCTAGTCACATGACCCTGTCCTGATCCTCCCCGCCTCTCAGGCTTCTAAGGCGCATTTTAACAATTGATGGCAGGAATGTGGTCAGGATTCTGCCGTGTGCCTGAGGCCCGGAGCGAGCTGCGTTCAGGTCATTCCAAAGGTAAGACAGTCCCCGCCTTTAAGGACATTTTGGACCTCCCAGCCACCGTAGCACATGACTCCTCTGACGACAGATTTTAAAGTAGAAACTGCTGGGTGCTGTAAACTCTTCAAAAACACTGCTTCCTTGATTACTCCGGCTGGAGCTGCTCTTTATGCGCTCAATAAAAACCGCTGCCACAGTTTCTGCTCGCCACCTCCAGACGCTGATAAAAGTTATGCTAACGCTGTTTTAGCGCCGTACACAGAAATAAAATGGTGCACAGTGGAGAGCGATGAAACGAGAGAAATGAAGCATCACTGCCGCAGAGCTGGAGACAGTTAAGGGTGGAGAAGGGAGAGGCGAGGGTGGAGAGAGAGGTGCGTGAGAGGAGGTGGAGGTTCAGTGGGCGTGAGCGTAAACGACGAAGGAACGCGAGACGAGCCGAGGAGGGCGGGGACGAGGAGAGGCTGCAAAGTTTAGAAGAACATCAGACACACGAGGACGATCGACGAGACGTTC